ATATGACCTGATGTCCCTCCTTATGTTGGACTGCATCATTTATTCGTTTACACTTTATTTCTTGTCTGTTGTCCCACATTTGCCCAGATGGACACATGTCCAGATTTCAGCATGGACTCTGCACCACATATTTAGTTTGCTGGGATCATGAAACCCTCCTGACTGCATAGAACCTGTTAATGAAAAATCTCTGTGAGTCTTTCCTCTACTGTTTCTTCCTCATCACCCTCGTCTGCCAATATGTTTTGTGTACTTCAGGAAGAGATGACAAAGCCAAACTCTGTATTTCTTTTTTAATTATTAAGATCAAATAAAGAGTAAACTACAAGTAAAAGGGGATGTAAGGCAACATGGACAGGAGTCTGTTTTGTACACATGAATGTTTAAGATCAGACTGAGAAAGGATTTTAAGGAGGAGCTCTGGCTGTGTGGACAGGAAGTATTTCAAAGAATGAAACGTGTTCGCAGCTGAAACACATCAACGGTGCACGTTCATTGAGTCATTTCAGGTGTGACTTAAAAACAGAGATTATGTGTTCCAGTAAATGTTGTTTTTCTATTTTTTGTTGGAGACAATGATGTTTTTTGGCATGCAGTCTGTTCAGAGCTTGACCTTCCCGGCCAGCCCACTGGTGGGATAAAGTCGTGAGAAGCGGCCGAGGGTCCAGATCGGGAAGACGTTTCTGTATGAGGTGTAGCTGATGGCACAGCTTTTATTGAACACACCTGCAATATTCTCCTGAAAAGGAAGAAGAAAAACAACACATTAACAATCCTGTTGTATTTCACATGGTCATCATTGCAGGCATTAAAGGGACACATGTCCAGTTTTGGAAATATCTGCTTTTGAAAAACTAAGCAGCTAAGACTCTTTACAGAGTGAAGACATTTGTGTTTGATTTTTAGGGTGCGCTGTCCCTTTAAAGGCAGAGAGTCACCTGTGGCCAGTCTCCGCTGGACAACTGCTTGTCAATCAGCATCTGTACTCCCCTCTCAATGGACTTGCTGTCAGGATGCCTGGTTATACAGACACACAACATGCATTACATAAACTAAACAACCCGATTAACACAATGCTCACATCACATCTTTATTCTGACTCTTTCTGATTGGTCAGTAGCCCAAAGGTGAGTTGCTCTTTATTACCTGACAGCCATCAGCCCTAACAGAGCCCAGCAGGTGTTGTGTATCTGAGCGGAGCCACTCTGGATGTAGCGACGCTGCTCACATGACTCAAAGTCCTCCCCCCACCCTCCCTCTGGCATCTGCCGGTCCAGCAGGAACCGACAGGCTTTCTGCACCTCTTCGCACACATGTCTGCTCACAAAGAATGTGACACAAAAAGAAATATGTAGGCTAGAGGTCAGAGAAGGTCATTGTTGTTCAGCAAGTTTTGGAGAACAATGGGCTGTTGAAACGTAGGAGAATGTGTATAAAAGTCAGTTATTACATCTTACCCATTCTCGTACACGTGACCCATGCAAGCAAAAGCTTCCAGGCCAAACCACATCCCATACGTGAAGCAGACTCCCCAGGACCTAAGCAATGAGACAGGAATGTAAAAGTCATGTTCACAGTATAGTTGGAGCTTTCCTTGCACACCTTTATATCATTTTACTTCCTGCCTTTGTCTGTTTTAACTTCATGTTCTGGTCATCAGTTTCACCTGTTGTTCACAAGCATTAGCTGCACCGTTCTGTCACCTGATCAGCTTTGAAAGTTGGTGTAATAGTTTTTCTTTCACATTTCAATTAGGATTAAACAAACAGAAGCACAAATTATAAAGAATTCCTCAATTGTCAGAATTCCCCTTTTCAATTTTTGTTTTTTTTACAAATGCACTTTAATGCACTTGCACCTGCATGCTACTGATTCATGTTAGTTGTTCATCATTTTGTCTTAGGAATATCAGGAAAGTCTGTGGTGTCCGTCTGTCCAGGAGAATAAAGAGTTACATTAGTAACATTTTAGGCCCCTTTTCTATGGAACCAGCTTCCAGTTTGGATTCGGGAGACATGCACTATCTCTACTTCTAAGATTAGGCTTAAAGGTTTCCTTTTTTGCTAAATCATATAGTTAGGGCTGGATCAGGTGACCCTGA